TTTGGGCGGGGACTTTTTTCAGATACTTGGCTTAAACACCCGGGGTCTTTCTAATTGAAACCAGTCCCACAGGGAACACCAAAAACCCCTTCTTTCATTTTCCCCCGGGGACCCTGATTGTTGGCTAAAAGTCCTCACGGGGGGAACGCAAAACCCCCTTTTTCCCCCATTTTCCCTGGAGCTGGTTGGTTTGAGTCCGCCCCATTTTGGCTTTTCTTCTTTTTCCATTCCAATGGTATTTTTTTCCCCTTTTCCTTCCACGCCCTTTCGGGTTTTTTTGGTTGCCTTTTTTAAAAGCTTTGCCATCATTTTAGCTGAGCGGGGCCCGATCATTTTCTGCACTTTTTTAAAAGTTTTCCCCCCCCCAAACCCAATTTTTTAAATTTCGCGGAAACGTTTGTTTTTTCTAACAATGTCTGGAAAAACCCCTTTTTCCTCAGAATTTTAGAGAGAAATGCACTGAAACCCACATGAAAAACCCAATTTTCCCCCCCTTTTCCTTTTAAATAAGGGCAATCATGGCCACCTGGTTTTTTCAAAAACCTCCGAACTATCACTGACCACTCACGAATAGAACTCCACACTGCTATTATTGGAACACGCCCTTTTTCAATGAGTGATTCCAATGACACAGAATCAGCAGCACGCATGTCATTGACTGTCGGGTCCCAGGGGGGGGGGGGTGTTGTTATTTCTATGACTATCTTCAACACCTGCTAGGAAATTATTTGCCATGTAAGATATCATTTCCACCAAAAACAGTGATTGCACCCGTTTAGTGATGTCCGACTGCTATTATTCGCCAACAACAACTGTATGAATAATTTCTTATATTCGACTATTATAATTAATATGATGAATTTAATTGAATATAGAATTTTATTTTCAGCCCAATATGGCTGCTTTCCACACAGGCAGTCAGTTTTTTTGGCAGCGCTTGTGGCGCAAGATACAAAAAAAGCTCAAGAAAAACACATCCCTTTAAATCCAATGGGATGACTTCACACGGTCCATTGCGCTCTTGCCCTTGCGGTGTTAAAATTCAGCTTGCCTCACTTTGGTGCACATTTCACGAGAAAAAAAAAAAAAAAAAAAAAAAACGCTCACCTCCCCATTCAGGGCCTGGTTTCACACGAATGTGTTTTTTTGGGGCTTTTTGCAGAAATGTGCTACAGTCCATTTAAAGTGTGGACAATCCACTCATGCTGTCAGCTCAGAATAAAGTTGGCAAGGAGCAAAATTACACATTGCAAAGCTCAGAGACTGGAGAGTTCTGAACAGGTGGCGGACTGAAACCATCTTGGAAACTCGGGGCACTGCCCGAGGGCCCGGGTCCAGTATGGGGGCCCCATGAGATGCCCCTGGTAAACCTTTTTTCATAGGCTTTTTTGAGTTTGGGCAAGGACACAGGGGCCCCAGTGATCCCCTATTGCTCGGGGCCCCATGAGTTGTCAGTCCCGCCCCTGGTTCCGAGAGTTGATTGGAGATAAAGCAGGACACACCCCTTTACATAGCTCACCAGTAACAGCTGAGGCTGTCAATCACAGGCTGTGTGCTGGAGTTCCTTCCCCTGTCACACCATTTTCTCTTGGTGTCAGGAAAACTTGTCAAGAAGTGACTCACACAGAGGAAGGAGGCAGCAGACAGAAATGACACTTAAAGCGGAGTTCCACTCACCCTGTCAAAAAAAATAAAAGTCAGCAGCTACAAAAACTGTAGGCTAAACTTCTGACTTTTAAAAAAACAAGCCACTTACCTGTCCCTCGGTATCCCGTGCTGTGTGTCCCTGTAGCCCGTCCTGGATTCCAGGCACGCCGGCATCTTCAGTGTGGGCACCTGGCTGTGATAGTTTGCGGCTTCACAGCTGGGGTGCCCACTGCGCATGCACGAGTAGCGCTGAGCTTCATGAATGGTCCCTGTAGTCTTCCTGGGACCTGTCACGTGTCCCAAAAGACTACAGGGAGGGAGGGGGTAGGAGGACACCTTCCTTTTCCGATCACCTAGACAAGGGGTAGGGCAACCTGTGACTCTCCAGCTGTATGTGGAACTACATTTCCCATGAGGCATTGCAACATTACAAAACTGACAGTTACAGCTGCTTGACTTGCAGAGGCATCATGGAACTTGTAGTCCTGCGGCTCTCAGGTTGCCTACCCCTGGCCTGAGGTGATCAGACCGAAAGTGGGAACGGGTACCTGTCAAATTCGGTACTCGCTCTCTCACCCCCGCCCCCCCCAAAGGTGCCAATCCTTAATGGGGCACGGGGGAGCAGTCCTTAAAGCGGAACTTCCCCTTTTAGGTGGAGCTCCGCTTTGACATGGTTCTCCATGGTTCACATCTATGCTTTTTTGAGCCAGTGCGGTTTTTAGAAAGGGTCAGGGACTTAAACGCAAAAATGTTGCATTTTTGGTTCAACAGACTTCAATGAAGATGCTGCAGAAATTGCATGTAGTAGTGCGTGTTGTGGTTATCACGCGTTTTGCGTTTTTTGATCTGCATAGCAACAAAATTGGCCATATTTAAAAAAACCCCAAAACATTAAAAAAAAAAAACAAAAACAAAAAAAACCCCACACAAAACACATTAAAAAAACATCAAACACGTGTGCAAAAAACGCAACGTACACTGCGTTTTACAATGCAATGTACACTGCATCCGTGTGAACCAGGAATTGAAAACGTATAAAAAAAATGCATTGAAAATGTATAAATATGCATTGAAATCGTATAAAAAAAAAAATGCATTGAAAACGCACACACATCTTGCGGTTTCAATCTGCCCAACAAAACTGGCCAAACAAAAAAAAAAAAAAAAACACCAAAAAATTCCAAAAAATGCGTCAAATATACACGTGGGGGAAAAAAAAAAAAACAAAAAAAAAAAAAAAAAAAAAAAAACGCACTGCAAAACACCAAATCTATTGGTGTGAAACAGGCCTGAATGCACACGTGCATTATGAAAAATGCAAAAACGGCATAAAAAAATGCCGTCATGCATTGTTTTTGCGTTTTGCATTTTTAAACCTGCCCAGCAAACAAGTTGGCCACAAAAAAAAAAAAAAAAAAAAAAACAAAACCCCCCCCTCAGCTACCGAAAACCCAAATGCATTAAAAAAAAATGCACCAAAAACGAACAAAACGTAAACTGCATTGGTGTCAACCAGGCTCAAAATGCACTTAAAAGCCATAAAAAAAAGAAACGTGTTGCATTTTGATGCGTTTTTTTTTTTTTAGTTGCGTGACCTATGAGAAACCGCACCCTAAAACGTGGTAAAAATCACGGGCAAAATTGCGAGTTTTCAGCGCTCATTACTGGTATCCTTTTTCTTATCGGCAAAATGGCGATCACGCGATTTGCTCACCACATCTGCGGTGGAGGGCGATTACCTTGGTGATGAACGGGGGGGGGTAATAAACTATGATCCGGGTCCATGGTGGGAGGAGGAATATCGAAAGATCGCCTCCAGATCTTCACCTGCCCTCCTCTCCGTGTTTGGCGGCCCGTCTCCGCCCTTGTTCAGGCCGGTCAGCCCGCCGTAGTGCCTCTCGTTCAGCCTCCAGGTCCTGATGACCGGCGTCCACATCTGGTCGGTGGCGTCCATCGCCAGCCATAGGGTTGCGAATGGCCCTCTTCAGGACAGACGTGTAGCAAATGTCAAACTGGTAGCCGGCATCTGCGGGGCAGAAAAAGGGGAACATTTCAAGGAAAGGTCCATCTGACACGGGGGGTGGGCGCTCGGGCAGGTGATGAGACTACAAATCCCATCATGGCCCTGGCACTTGGTGCCATGCCTGTTGGGAGTCATTCAATGCCCCATGGGACTTGTAGTTCCACAACAGCTCCTAGCTGGGAGTGCCGAGGATGCTTAGCCCCGATGGAAGACATACACCACCGCTGGATGGATATCAGACCTTCATACTATTCATTTATACAGGGCTGACTGACTAAACTCAGCATACGGACCATCCACTTCCGTCCTCCATGGGAGTCCTACTATACAATGTCAGGTCATAAAGTGTTCCTGAACCCCCAACAGTACAATCAGGCTGTAGATGCAGCAAAGCATGCTGGTTATACCCACTGTGGAACCTAAGGGGTTAATCCTCCGCATTGTGTAAAAAGGCTGTCTTCTCTGGTCCTCCCCTTCTTCCAGTGCCCCCCCCCTCATCTCCTGATATCATGTGGAGTCACTGTGCACATGCTCAGTTTGGTGTGTATTGCTAGAGGTTTTTGTTGTGTTTTTTTTTTTACCTTGGCAGAGCGCATGTGATCAGCACAGGGCCAATCAGCACTGTCCAGACAGAGGTCAGGGCATCTGCATCCTCCTAGGAGCAGAAAGAAAACTCCTCCTGCAAGCTTTAACCAGTGCTCTGCTGGACACTGATATGTCACAAGACTGCTCTATACTGCTGATGAGAAAAGGTATTTAGTAGTTTATATTTACTAAAATAATTGCATTTCCATATTCTGTGGACTGGGGAGAGCGGACACGGCGAACGAGCGGGGTCCGGGGAGAGCCGACAAACGGCGAACGACGCGGGTCCGGGGAGAGCCGACACGGCGAACCTGGTCCGGGGTCCGGTACGGAGAGCCGACACGGCGAACGCGGGGTCCGGGGAGAGCCGACACGGCGAAGGCCGCGGGTACGCCCACGAGCCGGGTCCCAGGGAGAGCCGACTAACACGGCGAACAATAGCGGGGTCCGGGGAGAGCCGACACGGCGAACGCGGGGTCCGGGGAGAGCCGACACGGCGAAACGACGGGGTCCGGCGAACGCGGGGTCCGGGGAGAGCCGACACGGCGAACACGCTGGGGTCCCGGGAGAGCCGACACGGCGAACGCGGGGTCCGGGGAGAGCCGACACGGCGAACGCGGGGTCCGGGGGGAGCCGACACGGCGAACGCGGGGTCCGGGGGAGCCGACACGGCGAACGCGGGGTCCGGGGGAGAGCCGACACGGCGAACGCGGGGTCCGGGGGAGCCGACACGGCGAATAGCGGGGTCCGGGGGAGCCGACACGGCGAACCGCGATAGCGGGGGTCCGGGGGGAGCCGACACGGCGAACGCGGGGTCCGGGGGGAGCCGACACGGCGAACGCGGGGTCCGGGGGAGCCGACACGGCGAACGCGGGGTCCGGGGGGAGCCGACACGGCGAACGCGGGGTCCGGGGGGAGCCGACACGGCGAACGCGGGGTCCCGGGGGGAGCCGACACGGCGAACCGCGGGGTCCAAAGGGGGGAGCCGACACGGCGAACGCGGGTCCGGGGGGGGCCGACACGGCGAACGCGGGTCCCCGGGGGGAGCCGACACGGCGAACGCGGGGTCCGGGTGGAGCAGCCGACACGGCGAACGCGGTTCCGGGGGGAGCCGACCACGGCGAACGCGGGGCTCTCCGGGGGGAGCCGACACTTTCCAACGGCGAACGCGGGGTCTCCGGGGGGAGCCGACACGGCGAACGCGGGGTCCGGGGGGAGCCGACACGGCGAACGCGGGCCCCGGGGGGAGCCGACACGGCGAACGCGCGGGGCCCGGGGGGAGCCGACAACGGCGAACGCGGGCCCGGGGGAGCCGACACGGCGAACGCGGGCCCGGGGGGAGCCGACACGGCGAACGCGGGGCCCGGGGGGAGCCGACACGGCGCGAACGCGGGGCCCGGGGGAGCCGACACGGCGAACGCGGGGGCCCGGGGGGAGCCGACACGGCGAACGCGGGGCCCGGGGGGAGCCGACACGGCGAACGCGGGGCCCCCGGGGGGAGCCGACACGGCGAACGCGGGGCCCGGGGGGAGCCGACAAGCGAACCAGCGGGAACGCGGGGCCCGGGGGGAGCCGACACCAAACGGCGAACGCGGGGCCCGGGGGGAGCCGACACGGCGAACGCGGGCCCCGGGGAGAGCCGACACGGCGAACGCGGGGCCCGGGGGGAGCCGACACGGCGAAACGCGGGGCCCGGGGGAGAGCCGACACGGCGAACGCGGGGCCCGGGGAGAGCCGACACGGCGAACGCGCGGGGCCCGGGGAGAGCCGACACGGCGAACGCGGGGCCCGGGAGAGCCGACACGGCGAACCGCGGGGCCCGGGGAGAGCCGACAACGGCGAACGCGGCCCGGGGAGAGCCGACACGGCGAACGCGGGGCCCGGGGAGAGCCGACACGGCGAACGCGGGGCCCGGGGAGAGCCGACACGGCGAACGCGGGGCCCGGGGAGAGCCGACACGGCGAACGCGGGGCCCGGGGAGAGCCGACACGGCGAACGCGGGCCCGGGAGAGCCGACACGGCGAACGGCGGGGCCCGGGGAGAGCCGACACGGCGAACGCGGGGCCCGGGGAGAGCCGACACGGCGAACGCGGGGCCCGGGGAGAGCCGACACCGGCGAACGCGGGGCCGGGGGAGAGCCGACACGGCGAAAGCGGGGCCGGGGAGAGCCGACACGGCGAACGCGGGGCCCGGGAGAGCCGACACGGCGCGAACGCGGGGCCCGGGGAGAGCCGACACGGCGAACGCGGGGCCCGGGGAGAGCCGACACGGCGAACACGGCGGGGCGGCCCGGGGAGAGCCGACACGGCGAACGCGGGGCCCGGGGAGAGCCGACACGGCGAACCGCGGGCCCGGGGAGAGCCGACCAACGGCGAACGCGGGGCCCGGGGAGAGCCGACAAAACGGCGAAACGGGGCCCGGGGAGAGCCGACAACGCGAACGCGGGGCCCGGGAGAGCCGACACAGGCGAACGCGGGGCCCGGGGAGAGCCGACACGAAAGCGAACGCGGGCCCGGGGAGAGCCGACGTGACAAAAAACGGCGAACGCGGGGCCCGGGGAGAGCCGACACGGCACGGCGAACGCGGGGCCCGGGGAGAGCCAAAAAACGGCGAACGCGGGGCCCGGGGAGAGCCGACACGGCGCGAACGCGGGGCCCGGGGAGAGCCGACACGGCGAACGGGGCCCGGGGAGAGCCGACACGGCGAACGCGGGGCCCGGGGAGAGCCGACACGGCGAACGCGGGGCCGGGGAGAGCCGACACGGCGAACGCGGGGGCCCGGGGGAGCCGACACGGCGAACGCGGGGCCCGGGGGAGAGCCGACACGGCGAACGCGGGGCCCGGGGAGAGCCGACACGGCGAACAGCGGGGCCCGGGAGAGCCGACACGGCGAACGCGGGGCCCGGGGAGAGCCGACACGGCGAACGCGGGGCCCGGGGAGAGCCGACACGGCGAACGCGGGGCCCGGGGAGAGCCGACACGGCGAACGCGGGGCCCGGGGAGAGCCGACACGGAACGCGGGGCCCGGGGAGAGCCGACACGGCGAACGCGGGGCCCGGGGAGAGCCGACACGGCGAACGCGGGGCCCGGGGAGAGCCGACACGGCTGAACGCGGGCCCGGGGAGAGCCGACACACGCGAACGCGGGGCCCGGGAGAGCCGACACGGCGAACGCGGGGCCCGGGGAGAGCCGACACGGCGAACGCGGGGCCCGGGGAGAGCCGACACGGCGAACGCGGGGCCCGGGGAGAGCCGACACGGCGAACGCGGGCCCGGGGAGAGCCGACACGGCGAACGCGGGCCCGGGGAGAGCCGACACGGCGAAACGCGGGGCCCGGGGAGAGCCGACACGGCGAACGCGGGGCCCGGGGAGAGCCGACACGGCGAACGCGGGGCCCGGGGAGAGCCGACACACGGCGAAACGCGGTGCCCGGGAGAGCCGACACGGCGAACGCGGGGCCCGGGGAGAGCCGACACGGCGAACTGCGGGGCCCGGGGAGAGCCGACACGGCGAACGCGGGGCCCGGGGAGAGCCGACACGGCGAACGCGGGGCCCGGGAGTGCCGACACGGCGAACGCGGGCCCCGGGAGTGCCGACACGGCGAACTGGGAGTGCCGACACGGCGAACGCGGGCCCGGGGAGAGCGACACGGCGAACGCGGGGTCCGGGGAGAGCGGATATAGGGAATGCGGGGTCCGGGGAGAGCGGATATAGGGAATGCGGGGTCCGGGGAGAGCGGATATAGGGAATGCGAGGGGTCCAGGGAGGAGACTGGATATAGGGAATGCGGGGTCCGGGGAGAGCGGATATAGTGAATGCCAGGTCCGGGGGGAGGGTTCCCCCTTGCCTCCTGTTCCCATGACAACACACAAAGTGGCTTTTCCTATCACTTTCTGTTGCGGCAGATGGTCACTGGGATAAAGGCGTCTAACATACACTGTGATCCATTATGAACGGCACCCCAACGCAGAAAGTCACACCTGGGGTTGCAGCGTGCAGTAGGGCGTTGCGGTTGGTATAAAGGGGCGATGACCGATTTTAGGCACGTTTGGGTGCAATGGCGGACTTAACGCACTACAAAGATGTACATACGCCCCAACAGACTAATCAACACCCTGGACATTGTCAGAAAGGTGTTCCCATTCTTACATTTTCTACAACTAAAAAGTAAAAAAACTCAGAAATAAAAATAAACACACATAAAAATCGCTCAGAAGTCATGTGACTGACTGCAAGGGGTGCAAGGGCCAAAATCCCATTCTGCCATCGGCAATGTCACAATTAGGGGACGTTTTCTCTCACATTTCTGGTTACCCGACATTCATCCCTGGAAGGAGTTTTCGACTGTTGTAGGGCAAAGGCTCAAAAAACAGCCACACAGAACAAGACAAAGGTCAAACATTCTCCGCCAAC